TTTGCCCTTGAGGAGCTGTGCCTGCTTGAATACGGTCACCGACCAATAAACGAAGAAAGTCTCGTCTTATATTATACCAAAATTAAAAAATTAAAAAAAAAAAAAAAAAGTGTTCATCTTGACTCGAGGATATCGGGAACCGGGGGGACTGGGGGAGCAATAGAGGAGGGCCGGACGTCTCCTACTAGCAAAAAAAAGGATTGGATTTACCGTCTGAATCTGGACGTGATTGTGGGGAGGTGCAGAAGAAAGCCACTGGAGCTCCGGTTTTAGGGCGCTTAATCCGATCCCGTTTGCTAGCGGGCCAAAAAGAAATAAAAAAAATAAAAAAATAAAAATGATTTTTTAATTTCACTTTTGTATTTTAAATTTGGTAAAGAATTTCGATGTGACCGTGAGGCAAAAGTTGTTCAGTTTATGTTTCTGCATAACATAGTTTTTTTTTCGGAGTTTTTGGATTTTGTTTTGGCTAGGACCTTCCCTGGTCCTTGCATGGCCGGGCCGTCCGGGAAAATAGGGTGACCCGGGCGGCCCGGCTGGTAGCCTAGAATAAAACCCCCTCCCAAAAAAAAAGGGTGGCTGAGAATGGCCGCGGAAGCCGGGCTCGATCCAAGGACCAGAGTCTGCGATCGATCGTCCGATTCCTTTCTTTTTTTTCTTTTTTTTCTTTTTTTTTCTTTTTTTTCTTTTTTTTCCTCTTTTTTTTCTCTTTTTTTTTCACGACTGCATGTTCTTTTTGACGCACAGTATATTCTTCTCTCACAAACTACCTAACCGTCCTTCCCCCGAACACAACGCACCCTGATTATGAACGTATACAAGCTAGCTTCCCGACTTGGTACATCCATAATGGGGGTGCGTTGCGTTCGGCGGAAGACGCTACCGGTAGCACTACTCCGCCGCATAATTGATGCACCAAAACCACCCTCTTCCCCCGAACACAACGCATCATTGTCATGAATGCATACAGGCCATCTTTCCAGTCCGATACAGTCGTGACGATGGCTAGCTGTATTCGGAGAAAGACGATCGTACAGATTTGACGGAACGACCAGAGGCCGGARGRGRGGGGGRRGRGGGGGGGGGGGGGGGGGSGGSGGGGRGAAGGAGGGGGRGGRGRGGGGAATGGTGGGGAAAGCGGGCGGGRGRGGGGAATGGTGGGGAAGGACTGGCGGAGAATGCCAGAGGCCATCTTTTCAGTCCGATACAGTCGCGTTGAGGGTTCGTCGTTGTGCGCAGCATGGAGCGGCCGTAAATCTTAGACTGGAAAGAGGCGGAAAGTGAGGAGGAGGGG